ATGATACTTGCTAATACACAGCTGGGATCAGCATCCTTCCCTCATTTTTGTTTTTTTGGTGGTGGAGAGTACTGTTAACGTAATGCTCCAAACGCTGGGTTGAGATTTGGTAATGAGGCCAAAGCATCATTTTTATCCTCATCTAACCATTCAGTGAGCCTTTTATGACCTATAAACAGCTTCATGTTCTTGCCACATGAACCAGCCACCAGTAATGTGCAAAAAACATCTGTACCAGTATGTGTCCAGTCCGGCCATCACAAGCCATTTGTAACCTGTTTGGAACGTGCTCCAAAACGGCCACAAGAGATTGAAATTGGAGCCCAGGTCACTTCACTGCTTAAAAGAGGTCAAACTAAATTTTAATAATATATGAATAGGGCTGCTATAACATATTGCCGATACAGTTCAAACACGAGACAGCAGGATCAGTGGAGCAAGATGAATATGATCCATCTATAACGTTGTCTGATGACCTTCGATTGAATGCACCTTTAAACCACCATTTACCGTGTCCAGAATTTTAGTGTGATATTAATGGAGGCGGGGCTAATACAGGAAACTAGGGGAAACCGGGTATGGTTGTAACACTTTCTTTCAGCAACTATGACTCGCTGTATTTTGTAGCTAGAGTTCTCAAACTTTTATACAATGTAACAACATTTGTTCACTACAAATGGCACCAATTCAGTCCTCTACAAAAATACCATAGACCTCAACCTTGATGTCTAATGCATTGTGTTCCCTTGTCACAACCTACTCCAATACTAAGCAAGATGTCTATGAAGATTCTCAGTCATCCAGGTCAACACAGCTGACTACCAGAACAAAGTTTAAAAGCCAGGAAGTGCAAGCCTTCACAGAACACATCAACTCTGTGGACAGTAACATCAAGTTCACACGAGAAGATGTTCACAACAACAGTTTGGCCTTCCTGGACTGCGCTGTACACATTGAAGAGGACAGGAGCCTGCAGATTGGTGTTTACAGAAAACCCACACACACAGACCAATACCTACTGTTCGATTCCCACCACCCACTGGAGCACAAGCTAGGGGTCATGAGAACACTGCACCACAGAGCGGAAAACATACCAACAAGCGCCCAAGCCAGAGAGAAGGAACAGAACCACCTGAAGGGGGCACTTACAGCCTGTGGATACCCTAAATGGACCTTTGTGAAGACAGCCACAAGATCCAAGAAGAACAAAACTACAGGGGAGGAGGAAAAGAAGGTCAAACGCAACAACATTGTGATTCCATACGTGTCTGGAGTATCAGAGAAACTCAGGAGGATTTTCAACAAACATAACATCCCTGTGTTTTTTAAACCCAAGAACACACTAAGACAGATGCTGGTACACCGCAAAGACCACAAAAACACAAGAAAAGCAATCTAGTGTATGCGGTCCAATGCAGTGAGGAATGCACAGACCTGTATATTGGGGAGACTAAACAACCACTACACAAACGCATGGCTCAACACAGAAGGGCCAACTCCTCAGGTCAAGACTCTGCAGTCTACTTACATCTGAAGGACAGAGGACACTCGTTTGAGGACCACCAGGTGCACATTTTAGACAGAGAAGATGGATGGTTTGAAAGAGGTGTCAAGGAAGCCATCTACACCAGGGTTGAGAAGCCGTCATTGAACAGGGGAGGGGGTCTACGCCACCACTTATCCCCCACTTACAATGCTGTCCTTTCATCACTTCCCAGGAAACTCAACAAACGTAACCTATTGGCCTCAGGTGAAGATACCAACGATGGTCGTTCAGTCTTGGCCACCGGTAGTCTTAACGACTGTAATGACTGTCGTCACAGAAACAAGGAACACTAACGAACCAGCGGTATCGATGACCCGGGCCAACGACCCCACTGAGGTTAAATAGCTGAGTTTCCCTGCCAGTCAGTCAGAACTGAAGAAGTCCTTTGGATGAGGGACGAAACGTCTTCCAGTATCTTCAGCCAAGTCCAGTTGCCCTTGATTTTAACCTTTGTTGGATACTCCAATACTAGGTACAATAATAGGTTGTAACACATCCTGGGGTAAGTTGTAACAATAAGACAAAAAAAACAAAAATAGATGCCACACTATATGATGCGCTTCAAAAACAGGTAAAAGATGTGTCAATGTGTTTATATTCTTCATCAGAGTCACAGTCGGTGCTTAAAATGGGCCAGTACTCACTGTTACGCAGTACTAGCACTTCTATATTTTACTCTGTGGCATAGTGGGACTTTTTCTTGCGCACTGGAATTTCTCACAAGCTGCCCGTACACTTCTCTGCCCTCTCCACCAGCGGAGACGGCGTATGGAAAAGACAGAGTGCTGATAAACACACCAACATGTGAACAACATGTGGAATACTGGTCACAGTGCTGACAAATGATTGCTGGTTCCCCTGGAGTGCAGGCTTGGTGGACCCAGACTTCAAAGGGCACTCCGTAAAATATTAAAATCAAGAAAGTCCCTAGTTGTATGTATAGCACTTTTTAAAGAAGTGTTACAACCCAACCCACCCCTGTAGGCCAATGTTTATCTAGCTGTAGCATAGCATAGAGGTTTGAAATTAGAAAGGAAAAAATGCATCACATGTTGCCTAAGACACTACATTTCAATCTAATATAAATCAAACAATTTTATCTGTTATAGTATAGATACTAAACAAAATATAGTCTTGGTCAAATTTACTTTCTTACATGCATAATCAGTTTTTTCTCTAAATATTCTGAATGTACCTGTTTCTAGACTTGACAACCACCATGCCTGATTGGGGAGGAAGTAGGAAAATACTGATATGATCACCTAACTCCTGTCTTATCTGTAACTGGTGGAATTGGTGATGCTACAACTCTTCACATGTTGCAACCATACCCGGTCTCCCCTGCTGTCAATTCAGGTTTTTCGAGCTGTGTCATTCTGATGTTTGACTCAGTTAAGGTAACATTAACATTAAGTGTTGAAATGTCAAAGTTTGTCAACTAAATGACTGTGTGTTTTTGATATGACAGTGCATGTTGTTTAATTAAACATTAGCTGTTTGTTTTTGTAGCTGGAGCGAAGAGTTAGCATATGTTACTTAAGTTAGCTAGCTGTAGGTTTGATCGTGATCATTTAAAAAATAAGCAATTCATTGACCATAGACTGTATAACCTTAATTGACATTGGTTGTTGTGTTAATCTTACCTTATTAGGTTACACATTTTCGAGTGGCCTTTTATTGTGGCCAGCCTAAGGCACACCTGTGCAATACCCATGTTGTCTGATCAGCATCTTGATATGCCACACCTGTGAGATGGATGGATTATCTCGGCAAAGGAGAAATGTTCACTAACACAGATTTGTGAACAATATTTGAGAGAAATAGGCCTTTTGTTTACATATAGAGAGTCTTAGATCTTTGAGTTCAGCTCATGATGAGTTGGGGCAAAAACAAAAGTGTTGCGTTTAAAATTTTGTGACTTTAAAATAAAGTGTATTAGGCTACATTCATTATGAATCAAACAGAGAAAATAAAGTCTCAAATTAGCAGGGCTTCTTTCATAATTTTCTCCCCATAGTGCAGTTACCAGCCTTGAACTGCACATGACATCACTTTCTCTAAAATAATATTGATCTTTTCTCTGGAAAATTCCGGCAGTTTTCTCCTGTTAGACCAAGCACTCATCTCTGTTTAACGTTACGTTTAAATAACTTTACGTTAGACATTTATAAGGACTTTGTTATTACTGAGGGCTGTCACAAAGACAAAAACTCAGACAGTCCACAAAATGTTAACAATAGTGGAAATGTCCTTCGATTATTGATTGGTGGGTAATAGGGCAACAATCCCTTCCAAATTTCTACCTATAGATACCTTATCATCATCATGGAGCACCATCAGTTCCTGTTGGTGTTGGTCTGTAGAGCATGTCAGCAGACTTTAGAGGGCCGCGTCAGCCTCAGGAGACAAGTAATACCACAGCCACCTCAGAGATCTTTTTATAAAATGATCCTGAACCATAACATAGTTAAATTTAGATAAATGCTACAGGCCTAGTCTCATGCCTGCTATCAATTTGTTAAAAAATAATAATAATAAACTCTGTGCTTGATTCTTCTAGCTGACTCAAACACATTTCTGAAAGATTTTATTGGTAAAAGCCAACATAACTCACTTTTAGCTTACAGAAATGATTTACTTGTTTTAAGCATTTGTTTGTTTTGTGTATTCATTATTTCCAGTGATTTCCGGGCAGGATTTTTTTTCATCTAAGTAACATGATTGACAAGAGAAAATATTATGTGCGATTTTTTAAAAATCTCTACTAAATGGCTGCATGGTTAAACTATAGGGTTAAACTTATGATTTGATGCTGAGAACAACTGCGGTATGATTGGATGAAGAGGTTTGCCACTACCTTTTGGTATTTCATAGTTTGAACTTTGTATCGCATATTCTCATACCATGTCTCTTGTTTCGACAAAGCATCAAAGTATCTGGACTGGAATAACGATATAGAGCATTGTTTCCCTTTTGATTATCACGGACTTTTAGTCTAGAGGGATCCCAACACGTTATTTCCATTGGTTATAAACAAAAGGAACACTTTTACGTTACGATTTAGTAATTTTATTCTCTCCAGAAAGATGTACTCATTGACACTATCGCGCTGATACAGTCTGACAGAGCAAAGGAAAAGTTAAACTAATAATAACATGAAGACAGTGAGAGAAGCCAAATGGAGAGTTTGGCTGACTGCGTGCGCATAATGGTTGATACACTGTATTTTTACAAGAAAAATATTTTTTTTAAAAGCAACGCTTCGTTCCTGTTTACTCACAAAAGCCTAGATAATCAGCATTTCAGTTTCTCTAATAAACCTAGCTATTTTTTTGAGGTAGGTGTCTCTCTCTGTACCCTGTCCCTTCAGTTGTCGTTAGATGGCGGTCCTCTCTCAATTGTTGTCCGTGTCCGGAACCTTTTAATGTTGGTTGTTGGTGAGACCGATCTGTAATCATAAATGCACAGGCCTCAGTTGGTGTCATCGGATGTTGTAGCAACGTGAAAGTTGTAGCCATCTGTTGTTGGTTATGTTGATAGTATAGTAAATATTAGTTGAAGTAGCGATATGTTCGCTAAATTCAGTTTGTCTGCGTCTAACGTTCAACGTCGAGCACTGTTTATGTTCGTCTTGGATAAAGTTAGCTAAGTGAGCAAAGCACGCTAACATAACAATCTAACCTGGTTTAGCTGCCAGACGTATTTGAATAGCCGTGGATAACCTCGCAATTTTTTGCGCATTGGATTTTAGGTTAACGTTACTGGTTGTGATAGTTTCTCAACATGCCGGCTGTCAGCAGTCTTGTCCCAGCGCGATTCTTGACTATCATTGCTCACCTTGTTATAGTGATCACGATCTTTTGGTCGAGGGTAAGTAAAACTCGTTCACGCTTTATTTGCCAGGTATGTGTACACATACGAGGAATTTGACTCTGGATTGTTACAATGCTCACGATGTGCTTACTTATATAATAATACTATAACACAATAATACAGTAATAAAAGAACAAAACACAGGCTACAGTTTAGAGAATACACTATAAACAAAACAGACCGATTGAGTTAAGAAGATGCGTTTTAGGATCAACTTTCGTGATGGCTAGTTATGTGACGTCACCATATATATTTACAATTCATCACTGTTTCATAGTGTTTTCATTCTGAGCAGTTTGAAATGTTTGTTTCACAGGAAAACAATGTAAAGGCTTGTTTGCCTTTGGATTTCACGCAAGAGCAGTATGACAATGAAGACAGCAAGTAAGAAAACATTTGACAAACGCGTACACACAACACGGTAAGAAATAATTTGACACACACCCTCTAATATGTTTCTCTGCTCCAGATTGGTTGTGGCCCTGGCAGTCACCCTCGGCCTGTTTGCTATAGAGTTGGCTGGGTTCTTCTCAGGAGTGTCCATGTTCAACTGCAGCCAAGGTCTCCTATGTATCCTTTACACTGACTCTGGACCCCTCATTGATGATACTTGGTATAGAGCTGCAATGGTTAGTTGATTAATCAATTAGTTTTCAACTATTAAATTAATCGCCAACTATTTTGATAATCGCTTTGAGTCCTTTTTTAAGGAAAAAGACGTCCAAATTCTGTAATGTCATCTTTTTTTTATTATGTACTTCTTTACTCCTCTATGACAGTAAACTGAACATATATGGGTTGTGGACAAATGAAGAGAATTGAGGATGTCACATTGGGCTTTGGGAAACATGCAACGATCAGTTTATCCACAAAATAATCGTCAGATTAATTGATAATGACAATAATCGTTAGTTGTGGCCCTAGCTTAATGATAATGATACAGTTGCTATGTCTATAGGTGAAAAGAACCAAGATCAACCAAGCTCTTGCAGTTAATATCTTTTATTGTCTAAAATTATGTCCAATTGAGTGCCCTGGTAGGTGAATGGTCACAGTTCATCCCTTCATCCAGTATCCCTGATTCACTTCCAGCCAGGAACGCTTGTTCATTGTTACACCCTCCTTTCCTCGGTTGTTTCCTGTCTGACTCTACACTACCAACTGTCCAATAAGGGCAAACTGGCCAAAAATCTAATCTTTAAAAAAATCTTAATCTATTCACTAGTAACTGAGATGATGATATGTGGCTTCCATGCAGAAAAAGCCATGAGATTAGAGCAGCAAGTGCAATGGCACCTGGACAAAGCCTAAATTGTCTTGAGAACCCCTCTAAATATATCAAAGTCTAAAAATAGATAAGAAATATTAAAAAGTAATTCTAGTCTAGAGTTAATTCCATGACTCCAAACTCCTGTATCTTTGCCCACCATAGCTACAGGAGCCCATTCCAGTGCCTCAGTAGTGCTCCTTTTCTTTCTATTTGAGCAGTGGGAGTGTGACATCTACTGGTGGATCCTTGCAATTTGCAGGTTAGTGTATATATACTTAATATTGTGTGTTTATTTTTCCAAAAGCATTTTATTCCCTGACACATATTGTAACCAGCACTGGCTGTCCACTGCAGCGCATCCGTATCCTTGTCTTTCTTTGTGTTTGAGCAGTGGGAATGCTGGACATATTGGGTTATTTTTGCCATCTGCAGGTGTGTGTGTGTGTGTGTGTGCGTTCGTGCGTGCGTGCGTGTGTGTTGATGTGCATGCATGTGAGAGCAAAGTGATAGAGCCACTATAAACATTGAAATATCGATGTACTATGAATGCCATGACACTGACTTCAAAGGTTCTCTCTACATTTCTGTCTGTGTCTGTCTCTCCCTCTAGTGTGCTGCCTGCTTTTGTGGAGATTCTTCTGTTTATAGCTGTTTTTGGACTGAAGAAGAAGCCGTTATGAAAAATAGTCCTGATGTTAAATGTTACAAATTAGTGTGGATTGGACATCTGTCTCATTGTATCAAGAGCTACTGTGGCTACAGAAGGTCTGTTATTTGTTAATGATGTTAGAGGAATGAACTGTAAAACAATGATTAACTGACATATGTGCATACACTACACCAGCAAACATCAACGGAATATACAACCTGCTCTCTGTCCATAATGTTCTCTAAATATTTTTATATATTTTGAGTGAAATGGATGCATATATGTTATTATGTTTACATTTAATTTGTACAGTGGTTCTTTTAGAAACGGTGCGTGCCAGAATGTAATTGTCAAGAAATAAAGTGCTCATTTGTCGGTGAACATTGATGTGGTTTTCTGTTGTTCTCAGTATGTCCATGGAAAGTCTTAGAATGCTATTGTAATCCCAAATATATTTTGTACTTTTTTTTCTTAAATTTCTTCTTTTCGTTCTGAACCCTCTTGTCCATCCATCCATCGCCAACCACTTATCCTGTGTATAGGGTTGCGGGGAACCCTCTTTTCACACAAGTCTATTTTTGCCTCTTTCAAAGTTTGTGCTGTGTAAAAATAACTCATCCTTCACCCATTTGAATGGTGGGGCTAGTGTGATATTAGCCCCCCCCAAAAAGATATGACACTGTTGAGCAGTGCAGGAAAAAGAAATACATTTAAATCTTCCTTGAGTTGAGTTAAAATCCTTTGTATTATAAAGTAACCCCCTTCACTGTAAGTTGATAGGGAGTAGAAACAGTCTTCCCATGGGTACTGTTGAGTAAATTCCAATGTGTATTAATGACATAAGGTAAGGAGATGATCTTAAAAAAAGAAGAAATATTTACATTTCTTCGTGAATACATGTTGTGTAAATCCAGAAGCATAGGAGATAGTCCTAGAATAACTAATATAAGAGATATATTTACCATTACTTAAACACTGTGGTTTATCAATAAAATGACTTATAATGACTTATAATGAAATGTCCTAACAACTCACCGGCGCATTCATGGCTCCGCCCCCTGGTGCCACCTATCATTTGGACCGGGCAGGGAGGTTTTTAGTTCCTTCAGCCGGGACAATCATCTGGCTCAACGAAGTTCAACCTAATTCACCTCTGTTTCATTACAAAGGCGTTAAATTGCCATTTTATAATGGGTATGTATTGCACGAATAATTTCTAATTAAAGTAATCTCACCACCAAAACCTCAATTTACATTATTGTAAGATATTATTAGCATCTATTCTTATGGTCAAGCTAGCTAACGTTAGTTAACGCTAACGTTAACGTTAAAAAATCGATTTCGTCATGTGACTGACCGCAATCTCGCAGCAATATGTATTGTATATACTAATCTAAAACATAAAAGGATGCTGTTTATTATACTGTGTGTGTAGAGTGTTACATTAGCCGCGCTTCTTGCTACTAATGTGGGTTGTTTAGCGCAAAGCTAACAGCAACTTGTCGGAAGCGTTTATGAACGAACACTGACGTGGCGTTACGTTATAAAGAGTTAGATGCTGTTACTGGACTTTAAGATGATATATTCCCAAATTGACGATATTTAAAATTGCATGATATTGATATAATGCAGCCGAAAGTCTTCCCACTGCACTAAATCTTAAAGCAATGCTTGTTTGTTAAAACTTGATCCTTATGTGTCTGAATGGTTGACGTGTCCTGTATGCTTCAAACTGCAACTAGCCTCACTCTTCTCGTTTTGTTAAGGACTTTGAAGTGCATCTGTGTTTGAAAGGCGTTATACATTAAAACTTCCTTTCTTTGCCTTGTAGCGGCGAACACAGGCACCTCTCTAGTGCTGTCCAGTCTGCTGTCAGTGCTGGTATTTGCTGGCATGCAGATGTTCAGTAAGCAGCTGGGATCTACTGAGTGGCTCACCATCCTGGGAGGTTTCCTGGGCTCAGTCCTCTTCATCTGCTCCCTAACTGTATCCTATTTGTGGTCAGCTTATATCCATTTTTGATGCACATACCTTACGTTTGTTGCTTTTTGTGTACAAATTATCCAGCAAAAATGTTGCATCCCATCTTCTGCCTAACCTGATGTACATGTAACCAAACCAGTGAGGAGTATTGCACCTTAACTTTACTTTCAGGCATTTAATAATCTGGAAAACTTGATTTTTGGGAAAGGATTCCAAGCCAAGATTTTCCCGGAGAGTAAGTGGTGCAAGCAGTGAAATCAAACATATGCAGTCAGTCCACAATGTCTTTTATTTTTTTGCTTACATGCTGTTTAACTTAATATTTTCCTGTGATTTGCTGAATCCAGCGTCTGCTCAGCAAATCACAGAAACATCAGCATACTTGATTATTAAAGCATATCCAAACATCATGCCAGCCTTTCCTAAAAGGAATGAACCCTTTTAAAATTGGTCTGTGATTTAATATACCACCTGACAAACAATATGTACACATTATCTGGGAGCCTTCAATACCTGTTCTTTAATATATGATTCAGGCTCTGCTCCTTACTTGTATTATTAATTCTCTCAACAGTTCTGTTGTGCCTGTGCCTGTCACTGTTTGCCTCTGGTCTGGTACACCGTGTCTGTGTCACCACATGGTACGTAACCATACCTCTACTGAACACAAACACCTACTTCAACTTCATACAACACAGTTAAAAATAGTCTCTAAATGTATTTTATTCCTTTTGATTTGCCTTTTATTTCTGTTCCAGCCTGATATTCTCCCTCTTCGCCCTGTACTACATCAACAAAGTATCTGCCGCTCTCTACCAAGCAGCCGTTCCCACAGTAACACCAGCCAAGGCTGCAAGCAAGGGCAAAAGGAAGAACTGATGAATCTCTGGGATCCCACTTGCGTCTAGTTAATTAGTTAATATTACCCAAGTGCTGATGGCCAGTGCAACACAGCAGTTGCATATTTTGTAATAACTTCTTAAACCCATAACCCTTATAAACATTTGGTTTGGAAATGTTACTTGTAAAGTGCTAAAGTTTGTAACATTACAATGACAGTTTTTTTTTGTTGTTGTTTTTTTTTTTTTACATTGATCTCAATTTGAATCATGGAGAAACATCTCTGGTATATGTAAAGCCCAAAAAAAAACAAGAAGCAAACAACTATCTACATTCCATTGATAACTCATCACAACCCATCATGTTTTTTGTGTATTCATCAGCACATCAAGTTGCTTTTTTGTTTAATTCATTTTGTAATTAAACTGCAAAAGACTTTGAATGTGTTGTTATTCCATCGAACCAGTTTTATTCAGGTTGTAAATATGATAGGTGTGGTGGTATCCTAAAATTGTGAACGGATTGACAGTGCTTAGGAAAAGGCAGAGGAGGGATAGAAACCATGGCCTGATCCTCTTCCTCTTCTACCAGCTGTAGACAAAATGCCCCTGATAACGTAACTGAACCACAGCTGTGTTGTGGTCATCAGAAGTACACTGGTTGTGCACTGATACAAGTGTGTGAATATACGATGGCAATGTACACAATGTTTAATCTTGAAGCAGATCTTTCTGTGAGAACTTTCAGGTATTGTTTAGAGATGATATAGCCATGGGGTAAGTGTTCAACAACAATCCTGTGAAAACATGCAGTTAATTGTCTACTTGAAAGAGGGTGTTAGTTATACTTATCTTGTCAAGGTGATGCTCTTCGGGATGGTAAAAAAAGTACAAGTATGACAGATTTTCATGTCAAATGTTTTAAAAATGTTTTATAGATTTTGATATTTTGTTTTTAATGCGCAATGGTGGCTTAGTTCCAGTGAAGCTGCTCAGTGGCCAACATACCATACTGGGTGTGCTAGGTGTCTTCCATGTGTGACTGTCAGTGTCCTGATAGACAGTTAAACTTCCTTAGATAAATAAAGGCTTAAAGAAGGTGATTAATATGACATAACTTGCTCCTTGTTTTCACCAGAGTGTCAATTTCATGTTAGCTGGTTGTTTGAAATCTGAGAAGCTGTGGCTATTGTAAAACATCCAGGGGGAGCATTTGTAATAGAAGATTATGAAGCCACCAGAGCCCATAGACCACAGTGTTGCCAAAAGATCTTGACTCAGGAAGTCTGCAGAGGCCCAGGCTTGTCCATAGGCATCATGTCCCAGCTTCCTACACCTGTTATTCCACTGCTTTGCGTCATTATGCTGAGCTGCCAGTTTGATGGTTTGATTATGAATAATATTAGATTTAATGGGCACTGAAGTTGGACCTGGTAATTTCTGAACAGAGATGATATCATCTTAAAAATCTTCAAGGAACTATCAAGGCATTAAAAGATAGTGTCCTATTTAGAGTTATGGCTTTATCTCGGTACCTCTTGCTGTGGCAGTCATGTGGGAAAACATGGGCAGCGATGGCATTTGCGCATGGCTTCTATTTTTTTTGGCTCCCTCTCTGTTTCTGTCTTCATGTCCCGCCCTATCCTTTCCATCAAATTGGGCGTTGCCTAGCTGACTATAAATTCTTGAATACACTTTCAGTGAGCCCCTGCATCTTCACTGAATCTCAAACTACAGTTTCTGCCTCTTTGTGTTCTGGTAAGTTCATTTTAATTGTTTCAACATTCACTTTTCTGTGTTTCCGTTGTATCGTGGTCTTTTCTAAGTTGCGTGAGTTTTAGACAAAAAAACTTATAGGTTAGTATGAAAACTGAAGATTAGCCTGTTCATCTCAGTTGCTGTATGTAGCTTGAGACGTGAACGCTACATGGAAACGCTTCTCTTCAAATTAGGTTAACGTTATATAATTGTACTCAACATGTTTTCTTGGGTGGGCTTGGGGCGCATTACGCAGGACTTTCCACTTCGGACAAGTAGCTGCTAGTCAGTTTTTTAGCTTTCCCTCAAGATCTTTCACCATTCTGTGGCTTTCATTTTTGTATGTGTCGTTTTTTCCATCCAGAAAAGGGTAAAAGGAAAAGGGAAGGAAGAATGTGAGGGAGAGTTGGAGCCTTGAGATAAGGATTTTAGTTAGCCATGCGCCAGAAAATGATGTAGTACCCGAAGAATTTGCTTTGAGTGCCAGTAAAACCAACACCCACATCATCACTTCATCAATATAGTTGTTAGTTAGTTTTGGGTGAAGAAGCATTAGTGGAGCAAGAAGCGCTGAGATATTTTACTTCAATACAAGTTTCAGTAGGCCTACCACAGTGCAGAAGTACTCATGACCCGAAGAAGAAACACTGTTAGAAGTCCTGCATTAAACATTTTACTTAAGTAACAATACAAATGTATTTTCATAACACTTTACTTACAAAAAGTAAAAGTGCTGAACATGCAGAATGGCCCATTAACAACAACAACAACAACAACAATAATATTGAATTACACTTATTTATACTTTAATATGTATTTGAGCCAATCTTATAATGTTTGGAATTTGAAGCTATTGCAGAGCATCACTCATAATGCTTATTTATCTATATGTAAAATATTATTCTGCACAGTAACTTACAACAGCTGTCAGATACCTGTAGTCAGGAAAAAAAAGTATAATTATTGTTAAATTTAAACCCAAACACATCTTTCCTCCTTTCAGCACCTGCTTCTGCAACCATGACTGAGTTGGAGACTTGCATGGAGACCCTGATTAAGATATTCCACCGCTATGCTGATGCAGACGGCGATGGAAAGACCTTAAGCAAGAAGGAACTGAAAAAGCTAGTTGAGACTGAGTTACCCACCTTCCTGAAAGTAAGAATCTTTAATCAAATCTAATCTCTGTCCTCAGTATAGATACTGTAACTTATTGCACTTTGCACCCTGAACTTCTCTTTCTTGCTATTGCTTCTTTAGAGCCAGTCGAACCCCAAAACTGTGGACAGCATCCTGAAAGATTTGGACCAAAACAAAGATGATAAATTGGACTTTGAAGAATTTCTTCCCCTCGTCGCCGGCCTCTCAATGGCCTGTGAGAAGTTATACATGCTCCAGGCGAAGAAGAGCAAGAAGTGATGGGCAAATAAGGCTAATAATGATGTTGCCTTTTTTATAGCACAAATGTGTGTCAGATCCAAAAGTAAAAACTACCATTGACAAGACTTTCCCTTCTGTCTGCCTTATTATTCTTTTAGCATATTGGTACAAAACACTTATTCTAATTCTTGATGAAGCTTTCTTCTGGTTGCATATAGTTTTATAAAAACTGCTATCTATTTCTTGAACACATGGAACCATTATAGTACTGAGAATACTGAGTTCACATCTGAAACACATAATTTTACCCATAAATACTCACTGACTATTCAGTTCAGGTGGAATTTTTTTTTACAGTATGTAAATGATTCAATACGGGGAAGCGCTGGTCTTAGATGAGTTCACAAGTTAGGGTTTAGGGTTATACTAAATAAGCATGCCAAATGCGTACATTTGGTAGGGATTGAAGGTTTATGGTTCTTGGAGACAGTAGTGTTTCTCTCATGGCCCTTCCCCAGTTTAGATGCCAAATCGCGCATCCCCCTGTTTTCAAGTTCCATGCACATTCTTTTATTATCTCACATATGTGGCCCTGGCAGGCTTTTTATTTTAAGTATGAACATCCCTGAAGGGACCACATGCACCAACCAGTATGGCATTTCATAGATATTGGTAGCCAAAAAGCAAGGGCGTCACTTTGTGTTGAAAAGTGGTGGGGACATAAGGGCTCAGATTAGGGACACAATGATACACTTGTGTCACGAGGCTTGACAATGCTCAGAAACAAGTTCAGGAGATTTTTAACACTATTTTGAAGAAATGTGAAATGCTGAAATCTATGAGTGGAGGGTCTGCTCCAACTTAGGGTGGAAATGTCTTAATTTATAATAATAATAATAATAATCCTTATTTGTAGAGCACTTTTCAAAAACAAGTTACAAAGTGCTTTAACAAGTGTAAAGAATAATACAAAAAACAAGATAAGAGCATGAAAACATAAAATACAATAAAATAAAAGGGATAAAATAAAGTAAAATAAGATCGGGAAAGGCTCTCCTATAAAAGTATGTTTTAAGAAGGGACTTAAAAGAGTTCACTGACTCAGCCGACCTGATTTCCTCAGGCAGGCTGTTCCAGAGCCTCGGGGCCCTGACAGCAAACGCTCTGTCCCCTTTAGTTTTCAGTCGAGACTCTGGAACAGACAACAGACCTCTGCCCGAGGATCTCAAGGTACGTGCTGGTGCGTATGGGACTAAAAGGTCAGAAATATAACAAGGTGAGAGGCCATGAAGAGCTTTAAAAGTGATCAATAGAATTTTAAAGTCAATTCTAAAACATACTGGGAGCCAGTGTAATGAAGCTAAAATAGGAGTAATGTGGTCATATTTCTTTGTTCTGGTTAAAAGCCTGGCAGCTGAGTTCTGGACAGTCTGGAGTCGATCAATAGATTTTTGGGTTAAACAGGTGAAAAGGCTGTTGCAATAATCCAGGCGTGATGAGATGAAGGCGTGTAAAATGGTCATGTCCTTAAAAGTTAACATAGATCGAATTTTAGCTATATTTCTAAGTTGTTATATAAAGAGACACAAAAAATTCAGCTGGCCGGTGACAATTCATTAATAGAAAAATATAACAGAATATAATGCACTAATCAGCAGCCTGTTACGTTTTTGGATGATCACATTTGTTTCTTTTATATTTAAATTGCTTTGCATGTTTTCTTATCGCACAAATAAACCTTTCCCAAAGTATTTTCATTTATTTGTAAGCATTTTTTGGTGCAAGCTATTTTCAGAAAAATTTTAACAAATGCTTTTAAAAAGTCTGTCTATGAAGATTCTCAGTCATCCAGGTCATAGTTATCCAACGAAGGTTAAAATGAAGGGCAACTGGACTTGGTTGAAGCTACTGGAAGACGTTTCGTCCCTTATCCAAAGGACTTCTTCAGTTCTGACTGACTGGCAGGGAAACTCAGCTATTTAACCTCAGTGGGGTCGTTATCCCGGGTCATCGATACCGCTGGTTCGTTAGTGTTCCTTGTTGCTGTGACGACAGTCGTTACAGTCGTTGAGACTACCTGTGGCCAAGACTGAACGACCATCGTTGGTATCTTCACCTGAGGCCAATAGGTTACGTTTGTTGAGTTTCCTGGGAAGTGATGAAAGGACAGCATTGTAAGTGGGGGATAAGTGGTGGCGTAGACCCCCTCCCCTGTTCAATGACGGCTTCTCAACCCTGGTGTAGATGGCTTCCTTGACACCTCTTTCAAACCATCCATCTTCTCGGTCTAAAATGTGCACCTGGT